TTCTGGAATGAACAGGAAAAGGAGAAAAAGCGATATACTTACATTATTTAATCATTCTACAAAATTAACTAATTATGTATTATATGCTAACTGCTGTGATAGGTGCTGGATACACAGTAGATGAATGAAGCAGATATGATTGCTGCCCTGTAGGAGCTTATAATATATAGCAAAGGTTTACGAAAACAGCCTTGGGCCAAACCCAAGCCAAACCAAAGGGTGTTTATGTTTTTTTAAAGGCTTGTTTAAAAGACAAAGAAGAATATGAAGCAGAAACGTTGCACAGGTCCAAAAGTCTAAACTATTTACTATTTGGCTCTTTACAGGAAAGTTTTCCAATTCCTGGGATAGAGAAGAAATAGACTTTAAACAATAAACAAATAAAGACAAGTAAATATAAAAGTATAACTATGCCAAGAACTAAGGAGGTAAATAGAGGAGTATGTAAAATAATCATGTGGGACAGGTGATTAGAGACGGCTTCTCTGAGAAACTGACATTTACGCTAAAACTTAAAGATAATTAAGGAATTAGCCAGATGGAAGGAGGGGAGGTACTCTCTGGGCAAAGGGAAGGACCTCTGGGCAAAGGGAAGGACGGTAAGGAACGCTTAAGGAAGAATCTAGTACAGCTAAGATACTGAAGGCAGGCCAACTGACATTCAATATCCAATGCAGTAAGAGTGAGTGAGGAGGGTGGGACAAAGTGAGTCTGGAGCAACTGGCAGAGGCCGGATCGTGCAGTGTTGCAAGACATGTTAAGGAGTCTGAATTCTATTTTATTTTATTATTATTTTTTTAGCTGAGCCATCCTGCCACCTTCTGAATTCTATTTTAAATGTAATGGGAAGCCAGTGAAAAATTTAAGCATGAAAGGAACATTCATCAAATTTCCCTTTAAAAAAAATCACTATGACTGAGTGAAGAATTACAGGTGCCCCTTGCTATCCAAATCCAGCACAAGTTCAGACAGCAAGGGGCACTATGTTCCAAATTGGTTTGAGTTTTGTTTGGCAAGTAATGAGAGTTTGGATGGCAAAGGATTTACCAAAATTTTATTTTCATTTTTAATTATTTTTTATTTTTCAATTACAGTTGATATACAATATCCAAAATTGTATTAGAATCTACTTGGTACCAGAGAGTGAAAGTTGGGAGAGTGAGGGTTTGAATCAATTACTGATTTGGAGAATACGGTAGAAAGAGTAGATATTAAGAAGGACCCCCTTCCGATTCACACACATAGAAACACTAGATAAAATAGCCTCCCCACACACATTTGTGTAAAAAAAAAAAAATGTTAAATTAAAAAGCAAAGGTGAAATCTTCAGGTGCCAACAATTTAAAAAAGAAGTTGAGGGGCCGGCCGAGTGGCTCAGTTGCTTAAGAGCTCGCTCAAGAGTTTGAGCTCTGAGCAACAGCGGTTCGAGTCCAGCCCGAGCTGAGCAGCCGCTGAGCTGCCAACAGGTAGCAGGATGGCTCAGCTAAAAAAAATAAATAAATAAAATAAAAAATAAAAAGAAGTTGAAGTAACAGCAGTGGTAGGTGTAGTGTGAGGGGTGCTGCTTTTGGATGAGTCTATTGGATTGGATTTTGAACAGCATGAAGGAAGTCTCTAGAAGAGATGGAATTAAAGTCCTGGGCTCTTGATGGGGAGGGAGAAACAAACCATAAGATAAGACTAGAACATTTTGAAAGAGAGAGAGAGAGGGAGAATGGATTACAAACAAATAACAAACATCAACATTTACTGCCTTATCTGAGTGTTCCACAAGTAAAATCTTATTTCCAATGAACAGTGTAACTTGACAGAAGCACTTGCTCCATTAACAAAAGATATAATATATGTCATTATATATGTCATATGTTATATATGTTATATATATGTTATATAAAGTCATAATATATGTCATGTAATGTTATGTGACTAAACTCCAGGGTAAAAATAAAGCTAGAGTATATAAGTCTGATTTGATACTCTTTGTAGTCAAATGCTTTTGTATTTCCTATTGCAGGTAAAAACACACAGGGAATTCTTAGACTAAATCAAAACACGGCTCTCTCTAAAAACTATCAAGTCCAAATGTTCCCTAGTATGGAAAGACATACATTAACAGGACATTTTCAATTCCTATAAAACAAGCTTCTATTCATGCTTATAAGATATTCCACTTATAACAGTTGATAACATCAAGTTGATATGTTTCTGAGTGCATGATTTTCTGTGTAGAAATAGCTTCATTTGTCTTACACAAAATTGTGGAGGGCTGGTGGGGAAATAGGAAGTAACTGTTTAACAGACGCAGGTTTTTATTTTGGGGTGATGAAAATGCTTTGGAACTAGACAGAGGTGGTGGTTGCACAACATTGTGAATGTACTAAATGTACTGATTTGTTCACTTTAAAACGGTTAATTTGATCTTATGTGAATTTCACCTGAATTAAAAAAAATATTTTAAGGAAAAAAGGCATGGCATCCATATGAAAGTCACTCGGTTAGCTACTCTCTGCCTCACACAAAAACACAACGTTCTATTGTGCCAGCCATCTAAGAAATACATGCACTGGTCACAAAAAGAGACTGGCAAGAGAGAAAGTACAGATCAACAGGGTATCAACCACGTCAGGAAAACAGGTCAATACAGAGTGTATCACAAAAGTGATTCTTCTTTGAATGTGAAATTTGGGGGCGGGGGGGGGATCGAATAATTACTCTTTAACAACTTTTGTCATTCCACGAGTCTAAAGACTAAAAATCAAATTTCATGATAACTTTTGATTTCAGATGTAAACACATAAAACTTAGATGTCACAGGAGCATATTATAGAAATCAAAGGTCAATGTCTTACCTCTGAATTCCAGTCCCCGCAGCTGGAAAGTGACCAGTCCATTGCCAATCTCTATAAGGTGTACTAATGCATTGAGGTAGTCAGAGGCAAGAATGAAACAGTCCCCTGTACTGTAGTTTCCCCACCGTCCTAGGAGCAAATCACCACAGAGACTGTGTTGTAGGGATCTGGTTAAATGTTCATAAAAGATGGAATTCAGATTGTTGTCATCTGATCCTACAGGGAGAAATTGTTTAAAAGGTTAAATTTTACCGTAAGTCCCCTTTATATCAACAAACAAGATTGTTAAAGATATTAAAATTAATTTCTAGTTAGAGTTGTATCTGTGAATTTTGCCCTGGAAAACAATATTCAGACCCTTACAATTTCTAAATAAAAATGAAATACAGGGTAATGGGAAAAGGTTCAGAATGTAGAGTTAGAAGTCAGTCATGTAACCTCTCTGAATCTCTGGTTCTCATCCAGAAAGTGTGGGAATTGGATTAGACGAAATCTAAGGTCTTTTCTACCTCTTATATAGTCCGTGATCTTTGCTATCACTGTTCAATGGACTATGCCTTATAATTAAAATCATGCAAGAGAAATTAAAAAGATAAAAGAAATTCAGAACCAGAACAAAAAGACACACTAATAAACAAAGTGGGTAAAGCAATAAAAAATTTGAAAAACAAGGGAGTCCAAAACAAAGTCATTAAAAAAAAAAACCTTGTATATTGCCATGGCTAAAAGTAACTTAATAGGAATAAACTGTATATATATATATATATATATATATATAAATAGTAGCAAAGAACCTATAAAATTTATTAAAGTCACCCTTTAAGAGAAAAGTTAGGATAAAACATACCCAATAAATGAAATGACCATCTTCAGAAGTAACCCATGAAAAGTAATAATGTGTAAATGGGTGCCCAAAATACACAGTATTGGAGAATGGCAAAATATACAAAGCTTAAAATTATTTTAAACTCAGCCTAACTAAATAATAAAATAATGAAAGAGGAACTCTCAACTCTAACTTCAACAAAATAGTCCTGTCTAATGTTCTGTCTGCCCATTACAAAAGTACACATATAAACTCAGGACATGGTCTTTTTGACATGCAGGATGGCACCATCAGCAACATGAGAGCCCCACACCCCTTAAGAGGATATACTAGAGCTGAGATGGTTGTTTTATCTACCGGAACATGATAATGACAGTTATTAATATCAAGTAACTAGTTCTGCCTAGTTCAATTTTATAATAATGAATCTGATTATTATAATTTAGTTTCTCAAGTAGACAGAGTATTTGAAGGAATCTGCAAGTCAAATGAATACAATATTCCAGTCTATTTGGGAGTAATATTTCTTTTAGTAATACACTGGTATTCTGGTTGACATGTTCATCTCTCATTGGTTGGGGCAGTGAGACTCGCCCTCTCTGTCAGGTGACTATAGGTGGGCCCACAAAAGGATGTTTCCCAAACAGAACTAAGGCAGACCTTAGATAATGGTAACACCATCAAAATGCCACCCACTGAAGCCCTATGTTGAGTGGCTTTTTGGTCCTCCTACATGACATCTCTATATACAGTAAACTAAATAAAATTAAATTAATATTCACTAAAACATTCAGGGAAGGGGGAAGCAAACATATTACTAAAACACATATTGGTCAGATTGCATACTCTTCAATACACATAATCAGTTTTACTTTAACTGTGTTCTACTTTTTAACCTATGTAGGAACAATCATTGAATGGAATTTTTTTTCCTATCAGCATTCTTAAAATACATTTTATAAAAGATGGGTATACAAATTATAGGTACTCTAATTCATGTATATTTTACTAAAGTAGAACAAAATAAAGCAAAGAATATTTGGTTTTTCAAAAAAGACCATTGGAACCCACAGAACATTCCCAACAAGTTGAGAGTGAAACACATAAACAAATTCTTTAGATTTCAGTCTTTACTCACAAATAGAGCTATTACCTGGATTTCTATCAAGCTGGGAAGCCAATCTGGTATTTGAATGATCCACTCGTTTTGTGCTGAGGATGGCAAAATAAAACATTTTTAGTGATCTTTTTTATAATTAAAAAAATGCCTCATAACTAAAGCTGTAAGTACAGATGAAATAAATATCATCCCTTTATGAATATCTCTAAGAAAAATCTATGTTTAGCATATTGAAAAAACCCTATAGTAGCAGAATATTAGGGGTAAGGTTTTTTACTCTCCCATATCCATCCCTCATAGACACAGTAGTTATGCCCTAACTGGTGTTTCACTGAATAATGTGCACAAAGACATTATTGAGTTTAATGTAAAAAAAACAAAACACAAAACTGATCAGAATGAAAAAAATTCATACTGTATACATTCTTAAAATACACAGTACACAAAACATTCTTTGCAAGGGGAAGGTACATCAATTAATGTCCAGTGGTACAATGTTCTTTATAACCGTGGTTCCCAAAATGTGGTCCACAGAACCCAGAGCAGAGGACTCAAGACCCTTTCAGGGAGTTTTCCAGATCAAAAGTATTTTCATAATAATACTGTGCTGTTATTTTTTTCACTGTGTTGACAACTGTATTGATGGTGCAAAAGCAATGGTGGGTAACATTGCTGCTGCTTTTTAATATGAATCAAGGCAGAGGCACTGACTGTATTATTTTTTACTGCCACACACGCATAAGGCAAAAGCAATAAATAAAAATTCAAGTTTCACTTTAAAAAGTCCTTAATGAAGCAATAAAAATATTAATTTTATTAAATTACAAGCTCTCATTCAGTACAGGCCTTTTTAATATTGTGTGTGGCAAAATACACATACAGCACTTCTGCTGCATTATGAAGTAGGGCCATTGTCTCAAGGAAAGCATTTGTGCAACTGTTTGATCTACAAGCTGCACTGGTTACTTGATTTTCACGGAATACCATTTTTACTTCTATGGCTGATGGATAAACTACGGATACTCATTACTGGGTGTTTGACAAACATTTCTCAAATATGACGAAAGTGAGTTTGTCATTTCAAAGAATAAACTAACAATAGTATATATTGCCAGTAATAAAATTTGAGTTTTCATGCAAAAATTAGAATTTTAGAAAACTTATATCTTCCACAATAAGCTTGATAGTTTCCCAATACTCAAACAGTTTTCTTTTGGGATTGGTGATGATATGAATGAATACATTTTAAAATAATAATACTGTATAATGAAATATGTCAAAATTTGGAAGATCTACATTACTCAGTGAAACAATATTTTCTAAATAATTGATAAATGGTGTTATAAGATTACATATAGGTAAAAGAGCCATCCAAAGTATAAGACATATCAGTAGGTTTTGATATAACAAAATTCCAAGAATTGATGGGTATGGTTTTAGATTCCACATTTCAACTAATCTTTAGGAAACAAGCATTTGACTTTTAGTCAAAGATCAAAGAAGAATATCCACTATTCTCTAAAAAGGATATTCAAATACTTTTCTCTTTTCCAACTATGCCTACGTGAGGACAGATTTCTTCATATACTTCAACCAAAACAACATATTGCAACAACAGATTGAATGCTGAAGCAGATATGAGAATCCAGCTGTCTTTTATTAAGGCAGACATTAAAGAGATTTCTAAAATAACGTCACTCTTCTCACTGATTTTTTTGGGGGGTGGGGGGATGGGATGGAAAATAGTTATTTTCATTACAAAAATGTTATTTTTGGGGCTGGCCGAGTGGCGCGTTGGTTAAGAGCTGGCTTGGGACGCAAGAGGGCCCCAGTTCGGATCCCACATATGAGGGCTAGTGACACCGCCCTCTGCAGCTAAGATGCTGAACAGCTCAACCTGGAGCTCGGCTGCCAAAAGTCGCTGGCGACTGAGTAGGCGACTGCGTAGGCTGCAGCCCCTCCTGCAGTAGGTTGCCAAGGGCTACCGTGTGTAGCCAGCAGCCAGTGTGAGCGGCCATCCAGAAGCCGGCGACTGATCTGCCTCGCCCGGGAAGAGCGCAATGATGGTGCCAACTTGGGCCAGTGAAGCAACATCCTGCACAACTATACTGAAGAACAAAAGGACAGCAACTTGTCTGTTCCCCTTCCCCCAATTCCCCAATTGAAAAAAAAAAAAACAGTTATTTTTGTTAACATGTAATGGGTTTACTGTTATTTTAAAACTCATTAATAAACATTAAAATTTTTTGAGTTTTGATTTCTAATACAGTAAATATTGGTAGATAAAACCCAGAACAACAAAAATTCTTTGGCGGCCTCAATAACTTTTAAGATTATAAAAGACCAAAAAATTTAAGAAATGCTGCCATTGACATTATTTTGGACTACGTTTAAGTTGGCCCAGAAGAATTAAATATAAATGACACTATAATTCACCAAAAAGAGAAATACTATGTATTGTATTAGATAAAAGACGAGAGCAACAAATCCACATGCTAGTTCATTGTTTATAAAGTGAGACTACCATTTTCACCTATATGTGTCAATGTTTAAAAGAGTAGAGAAAAAAGCAGTCATGGAGAAAACCAGTAGAATTATAAATTAGTACAAGCTCTTTCTGAATCAATGTTAATACATGTTAAAATCCTTTTAAATGTTTAAGCTCCATGACTCAGTAAGTCCCATTTTAGATATTCTTTTTTAAA